TCACGATAGATTGAGGAGGAAGGTGTGCGGTTGTCGCCGGTGAGGGAGGCCGTCGGTGCCAGAAGATCGAGGGTTCCAGACGAATGAGTTTGTGAGGGGAGGAGAGGAAGGAGGGGTTAGTTCTCTCGTTATGGAAATTTATCAATATGTGATCTTAAAATGAAATGCATTTTTTTACCATTTATTTGAAAATAAAAAATTCTATGCTAGAAGAATAAAACATTCTTTTAATTGTACAATAATAACATTAGCAGTATTCAACGTGCGCATGGTAAAATGTAGTACTCGTTATATCAAACTTGAAGAACAATAAATTTTGCTAGAATATAAAATTATAGTCACTTACCTCAACCTCAGAAAATTTTTGTTATCACGTAATCCTTAATCTCCAGCCCCTTTATTTTAATGTATATAATAAAATATATAATTATATATAGAGCATTCACATTGATGAACTTAAAAATTTTATATTTGAATTGTATTTCTCTTTTAAATTTAATTATATATAATTCTTTATTCATGAAGGCATAAAATCTTGCTTTTTCATTGTATTAATTTATTCAACCAATATTTATTTATTCTACCAAATTTGTGAAAGACAAAATTATAATCCTACCATAAAATTTTAGATTTTATCAACTTAAATTATAAATTTCTAATTAGATACATTCTTTTTTCCTCTCCATGTAGGGTAAAATACTATTTATTCCTCTTGATTTTCTCTTCCCTTACATTGTCAGAAGTCCCGACCAAATTTTACTTGCACGTTAAAGAATGGATCTCGGCTTTACAGATTTGTAGTTAATAATTTAGGTCAAACTTTTTCCTATTGTTTGAAAGAACACATTTGATTTAGAAGAAAAATAAAGAACAAGGAGTCCAACTGCTCTTGATTTCTCTCTTCTTAACTTTTTCTCTAGCTTGCTTTCTTTCCTGATGTGGTCCGCTTGTTGATCCCTTCACATGCAGGTCGCCTATCACTTCTTGCACATGCAGCTCGTCTTATTGTTCTCTGCTCACTTTGCTCTCCTTGTTCTGCGCGCCTGCCCCTTTACGCCGGTTCTCACTCTCTATGATGATTGCCTCCCTCGCCGTTTTTTCTTTTAATAGTGGAATTGACTTGTGTCTGTTTGGTTGAACAAACACTTACCGATTTAGTTATATACATATAACCACTTTTACACGATAGTCAGACTTTGAATCTACATTTGAACAAGAGTCCACACTTACATTAGCATATATTTTTGGATCTTTTTTGAAAATTTAAAGAAGAGTCAAAGCCCAATTTGAATTTTAATGTGGACCTAAATTTATATCTCCATTAGAATCTGAATTTGCAATGCAAATTGAACTTATAAAGTTGTATCCGAGCCAAAATTAGAACTTGAATCTAATATTGGCTGTGAATTTTAACTCTCAATAAATGTTATATCTATTTTTGAATGTGAACCTGAACTTTTTATAAAAGTTCTAAGTTCTAAACTGGGACTTCTAACAGAAATTGAATCCATTTTTGACTATGAATATGAGCCAATCATGCTTGCTATAAGTAATAACTCAGCCAAGCAAATTGACACTGTTAAATTTGAACATGAAAATGAATGGATCGTGCTTGCAAAATTTAATAATTCAATTAAACAAGTTAATTTAATTTATGTTGAAGCTTCTAATGAACTGAATTTTATGTGGCAAATTAAACTTAATTGTTGCATTTGTTTTTGACTCCTTAGTTTCGAATCCTAACAGAGAAACTGATGTAATGCAAGGCTATATGGACTAGTGATTAATTTTAGTCTTTTAATGTATATATCTATCTATCTATCTATATATATATATATATATATATAGATACATAGATATAAATATATATAGAGACACACACACACACACACACAGATATATATATATATATATATATATATATATAGAAAACCCAAAAAGGCTAATATATTAACTAGAAAGAAAGATACAGATACAAAGTGTGGGAGGATCCAAACATGACACATTGCCCACACAAAAATCACAAATGGTTCTAAAACTAGAAAATACAGAAAAATACATTAAATGTTTAAAGAAAAAGCCTAAAAGTGCGTAAATACAAAATATCTGGTGGCAAGAGAGCGATCCAATTTGGTCTTGCCTCTGCCCCTAGTTCTAGGGAAGGAGCAAGCTAATAAGTTGGTAAGATGATTGCCATTGACAGTAGTAACCAATGTATCATCCGATATGTTCCTGAGCTGAAGTCGGCCTCCATTCTTCTTCTTCCTCCTGGAATAGACCTGCCATTCCTCATTCGAAGATTGACTCACCTAATCTTGGTCTAAAGTGTGCTGGAGATGTGTAGGTTGTTGAACATTAGAAACAACTACATGTTGCACTGACTGATTTGTTATTAGAGCAAAGGAACATTCTCGTGTGTTTTGGCATGTAAGTGAACCTTCTTCAATAACAGTAGGTGGTATAAGCACAACTGGATCTGTAGCTGTAGTATGGTGTTCTTCGTCAGGAACTGCAGTGTTGGAAAGAAGATCGAGTTACATCTTCTCAACAAGGATGATAGGTGGCTGATCTTTAATGATATTCGACCTTAGATGAGGATGCAAACGATAACAAATAGTAGAACTGTGGCCAAATATACTGCAATGAGAGTAATAAGGAGGGTGTGGTTCTATTTCAACATTTTGCCAATACCCGTTGTGAGTGGTTCCAATCCATATCTCATTCGGAGTTGGTTGAGTGATATCCATTTCAACTAACACACAAGCCACAAAGGGTCTGGTGATGCCAAGCGTAGGACTATCAACCTTGAGAGACTTACCGTAAGCAGTTGCTAAGGAGTAGGGAAATTCCAAATTAAACAGAGTAATTTTAACCCCGGAAACTTTATCCAAACTGGAATGATAGGGGACTCCGCTTTTGGATCAAAACAAATAGTCCACTTTAGAATTTTCATATAATGATTATCAATCTTGATAACTTTTCGAGAAAAAGTGCGAGTATAATTAGCATCGTGATACAACTGAATCAGTATGTGTCGACCGTCAAGTAAACCAATATTCCAACTTCCCAACAACTTTATAACATCAAATTCTTTTAGAACAATATCAAGTTTTGGGTGACCATAAATAAATTTTCCCACTAGAGCAAAACTCCACAAAAATGCGAGAGTATAGGTTTTAACCTCTGTGAGAATAAGAGCAGACTTCCCATTTTTTCCCTAATTTTTTAATGAAGGTGTGATTGCCGCTACCTTCAAGTGCCTCGTGAAATGATTATGGAACATTGCAGGATTTACCTATACGAAAACCAGTTTCTGATTCTGAAATAGGAGCACAGGTAGGAATAAGAAAGTTGCCGACAAGTACAGTGGCATAGGAACGAATCGTCGATACCATTTTCAGAGCAGCTAGGCGAGCCGCTGGAAATAGGAGAGCAAATTTCGGAGCTGCTTCTGTACCCTAGACGCTAGCCGTTTGCGAGCGTCGTCAGGAGTACGAGATCTAGACTTCGGAGCTGCTTCTGTACCCTAGACGCGAGCCGTCGACTGCGGGGAGACGCGAGCGTCGAGCCGTCGACTGTGTCGTCGAGAGCTGCGAGAGTCGTCAAGAGTACGAGATCGTTAAGATGCTTCTGTACCCTAGACGCGAGCCGTCGACTGTGTCGTCGAGTACGAAAGTTGCGAGCGTCGTCGAGAGGGACGTCTGCGAGAGCGTGAAAAACATATGTATGTTTATTATATATATATTAAAAATTAGGCTTGGTTAAATTAAAATCAAACTAAGAAGCCCAAATTTATTATGGTTTGGTTCTATCTATTGTTTGGTTTGCTCGATTTTTCTTATAATTTAGTTTTGTTCAGTTGGCTTAACTAATCTGTCAACCAATTTATCTGAACTGATCAAATGCACACCTCTAGTTAGTTCATCTATTAAGGCATGCCATATTTATTTGGTTTACGTATTTCTTTTCATTTGCTTTAGCATTTCATTATATAGAATTAAGTTATAAATCATTATTCTCATTAATTGTTCGCACAATTTTATTTGATTTGCTTGAAAATATTTATACAATTAATATTGAATATGGTAATTAGAAGTCTACTGGTATGTGATTGTGATGTGAGTGGAATTTACTTTAGATGATAGGGTAGTTGTGTGTCTAAATCTTGAAAGGCTTCCTACTGGGATTTTTAATAAATCTTTCTCAAGAAAAAATAGTTTTATAATTCATACAAAATATTGAGATAAACACTGGAAAGTGAAAATTTCAGAAAGTTTTAGCTGTGTTTCAAGCTTCAATTTATGTACTCTGACTTTGTTAGTTCATGGACCATTGTTAGTACTGTGGGTTCCTCTCTTTCCTTCTCCTTATTGTGAATTAATGAAGCTACTAATTATGTCGAAAAAGTTAACCTATATGCAAGGATTATGTCACTTCTAATAATGGGTATGTTTCTAGCTGTTTGCATCTGCTGTTTTAACATCAAATACAAATAGCAAAGCATTTTGAGTCAATTCTTGTTTTTTAGTCAATATCAAGCTTCTTTTCCTTGGGAAAATTGGTTTTGAAGTAGAAAATTGTTCTTCAACTGAGTTTTAGGGATTTTGGGTTGAAATATTAAATCGTCGTGGATAAATTTTTTAGGGTTTTTTTTAGAATAGATTTTGTATATTATTTATACAAAACATTTCTTTCAGTCACTCTTTATGATTGGACCCATTGTGATCACACTTAAAACAGTTTTTCTTTTTTTTTAATAATTCCTTTATATTAGGCATTGGAAAAAAAAAGGATCATATGGTTTTTGCATGCTCTTTTTTACATTATCATCATTTCCTATTAGTTCCTAATCTTTTCATATATTTTTTTTTATAGCCTTCTAACGTTTGTATGATATTTTGCTTTCTTCATGTTGATCTTAATTCTTACTTTTGAAACTTCGTGACTGTTTAAGCTTCATTTGGATTCACATGATTTGATGCTTTAGCCAATGTCTTCAGAGTAAATCAATTTCATTGTTGCAAGCAATAAAATGCTGCCTAAGCACTGCAGTTCTATGCATAGGTTAGTCTCTAGAACAGTGCAGCGCTCTAAAAATTATATAAAATAATTATCATGCATATTGGTTTGTCTTACTCTTCTGGGTTTTCTTTGCAGGGTTTACTTTGTTGGTCGACTCGATATTTTGGCAGAGAATATTGTGGCCTGAACTGGAAGTTTTCTGGTTCAACTCCATCTTGAATAGGAGTTCAGAGTGGGGTGTATCCTTTACTTTGATATGATAGAGTTCATAAGCTTCCATAGCAAGCCAAATCACAGTAACTTTTTGTAAAGTTGAACCTATATGCGTAGGTCACATTCTGTTGCTATTTTGTGCATTTGTTTTCTTTGACATTCATTATTCATTTTAAATTTCTAGTTTCTATGCTATACGCTCATATTTTTTTAGGTTTGTTGTTTTGCAATTTTGGTAGGTTTATAAGAGTTGGACATTGTAAGCCTGTGTGATTAGTAACTATTTTTTTTACGTGGAATCTTAAATTGCTTTATTTAGCTATTGTGATGTGGGGCGGAACAGAAAAAGACTGACGCGCCATCCATCCTGCATTCAGGATTACCCACGACAGAAGCAACGACCCACTGCTTGCCTGGGCTGAACTGCTCCAGGTTTTCCTTCCGAGGAATGGGCCGGTCGTCCTAGGCCACTCTTAGTTATCTTATTATTATATATTTATTTACAAAGGAATCTAGGGTTAGGTTTTGGCACTAGTTTGTTTAGGACAGTCGTCAACATTCATTTCTACTTTTGAGGGCTGTATCTAAGGGTTCGAGTGGTGCTTTATTTATATCTCTTTCGTGAAATGGTGATTATCTTCTTAATCCTCTTCTTCATCATATCCACATTGCTCCTGACTGCTCCGTCCTTGCTGCAGCCGCCCATGACAACTACTATTGCTATTTTTCTCTGTAGTTCCCCGCTTTCAGCCGCCTCCCTAGCTGAAATATTGTGCTAAAATGCAACTACGTACCCAAACCTTATTGAATGCATTTTCATGCCTGGACGCGAATCTTCATCACTGTCAGAAACAATAACTTTTGGACCACCGTGTAATCTCATAATTTTTTTAACATACAGTCTGTTCAACATTTCAACTGAATATGTTTGGTTGATTGATAATAAATGAGCTGACTTTGTTAATCTATGAATAATGACCCAAATACTGTCACAACCTGCTTTGATATGGAAAATTTCATAACAAAATTCATAGCAATTTCTTCTCATTTTCATTTCGATACAGGCAATATGATTGTAGTTATTCGCTGGGTCCTTGATGCTCAACCTTTTTAATTTGACAAAGCTTGACATTTAGTCATATTTAATATTGTCTTTCTTTATACATGACCATCAGAACATCAACTTCAAATCTTTGTACATTTTAAAGCTGCTTGTATGAACTTTACAACCTAAATGATGAGCATTATGTAGGATTTCATGTTTCAAATCAGAATCAACAGATACCCATATCTAAAATTTGTTTTTGATAACACAATTTTCATCAATAGTCATATTCAAACTCTTTTCTGATTGACATTGCTCCAGACGTTTTATTTATTCACTGGTAAATTTTTGAGTTGCCATGATTCTATCTATCAGAGTTGGTTGTACTGTCAGCTGATGTAAATACCCACTATCTTTTGGTCTTCTAACTTCCAATTGCAAAACATGAATTTCTTTAATCAATTCTAGCTTTCGAGTAATAATCCAACTTGCACTATATGTGGATTTATGACTCAAAGCATCAACAACTACATTTGCCCGACAAGGAGAATACTATATATTTAGATTGTAATCCTTTATAAGCTCTAGCCATCTTCTCTGTCTTAGATTCAGTTCTTTTTGTGTGAAATGTATTTTAAACTGATGATTGCTAAAGACTTCTCACTTCACACCATACAAGTAATATCTCTAAATCCGGGAGCAAATACGACATCACCTAACTCCAGATCATTTGTCGGATAATTCTTCTCACGTGGTTTCAAATGTCTGGATACATAGCCTATCATTTTTTTATTTTGCATTAAAATGCAACCCAAGTCTCGCAATGATGTATCACTATAAATTTGAAGTTTTTCTACACCTCATAGAACAATTAATATTGGAGCAACAGATGTTTCCTTAATTTTTGAAAATTGTGCTCACATTCTTCAGTCCACTCAAACTGAACGTTTTTTACTCGTCAGCTTTGACAACTGCATTGCTATTTGTGAAAATCCTTTAACAAATGTTCTATAATATCTCGTTAAACCAAGAAAACTGCATTCCTAAAAAAATTAATAAAAAACTGTATACCTCCGTAACACTTTGGAATAGTTCATTCCGTTATTACTTTCACTTTCTGAGGGTACACTGAGATTCCCTATCCATAATATTATCTCTTGAATGCAATGCCTTGCTAGAATTAATATGTTCTATTATCTCTTGATTCCCTGTCCATAATATTATTTCTTGATCTCATATCAATTTGGGAAATATCTTACGCCGTCTAACTGATCAAATGGATCATCGTTCCTTTGCAGCGGATATTTTTTTCTTGATCGTCACTTTGTTCAGCTCTTTATAATCGATGTACATACATATCGATTCGTTTTTTTTTTTGAGAAAATTACTAGAATAGTCTAAGGTGAATTGTTTGGTTTGATAAAACCCTTATCTATCAGTTCTTATAATTGATATTTTAATTTTTGTAATTCTTTCGGTGTCATCCTTTAAGGAGATTTAAAAATTACAAACATTTCTGGCTGCACATAAATGCCAAACTGAACTTTCTGCTATGGTGGTGGCCCTAACGATTTTCAGGAAATATATCAGGAAATTATGCAACAATTGAAATATTCTTTAATTCCAACATGTCCTTATTTAACGCTCCCACTTTGGCAGGAAACACCATTTCACCATTTCACAAACAATTTCCAATTTTCATTGCACTAATTGGAGAATGTTGTGCATTTCAATCACATAAGATGATGAACGGATTTTCACTCAGTAAATTGAGTTTTACTCTCCTTTCAAGCATTCAATCGTAGAAAAATTCATTACTAACTAGTTCGTCCCAAATATGACATCAAAATTCTGAATTGATATTATAATAAACTCCGCTTGTAGCTTTTTATCTTAAATGTTAACATATACGAAACATTTTCTATTTGCTGAAAAAGTACTTCCCAAAGGCATAATAACACAACACAGGAGTAAAGTGCATAATATCAACAATAAACTAGCAACAAATGTTTCAGAATTGAAAAAATACGATACACTTGAATCGAATAAAATAGTGTCACACTGATTTAAAATTCGAAGCGTTCTTGTAACCTTTTATTTAGATTCTTTAGCTTTTTGAGAGGTAATTGCAAAAACTATGGCCTTCACTTGCTGCTCATTTTCGTGTTCTAAAGTTTCACCATTTGCTTGCACTAAAGGCTTTCCTGCCCTTGAATTGTGTGCGATCTGTTGTCTCTTTTCTTTTCCCGCAAACAGCTCAATTGAAGATGTGTTGACTGTCCACATCCGTAACATTTCCTGAACCCATCAAGTCTAGCCAAAATGCTTTGTTTCACATTTTTCTTAAACTGGTCTTTCTGACTATAGTTGCTTCTATTTACCTCTTTATCTAATTTTCTTGCTTTGGAAGTATTCTCCCTTGCTAAAATCTTTCGTTTGCTTGACCGAGGATGTCACTGTTAACTAAAGAAAATCAATTTGTTTTTCATTCTTTTGACCCTTTCAAGAAATTACTGATTTCAAACGACACCAACGCTGATCTCAACTGATCTTTGAGACCACATATAGATTTGTGATATTTTTCTTTCTAGGTAATGACATAATGATGTGCATATATAGAAAGAGATATAAGTTTTGCCTCATATTGCTTAACCGATCAGATTTGAAAAATTTATCTTGTAATGTAGTTTGGCTGAATGTTGAAAGAACCAATCCTTGTAAGCTCTGACAAATCCATCTTACTGAATCTGTGGATGCGGTGTCAGTTGAAATCTCTTTTTATGTTGTGTTTGTCACCACCTCTCTGTCTCGTCTTCTAACATGAAAGTGGTTAGCACAACTTTTCTATTTTCTTAGACAAATCATGTCATTCAGAATTTTCGTGATCTTCAATAGTCAGTCTTCGCATCTGTAAGCTCATTAGCACCCTTGAATGCAGGTGGTTTGAATATCTGAATTTTCTTCAAGCCGATCATATTTTGTCCCGAGTTTAGATCTGGGGTCTGTATTAGCGAATGGTCTTTCAATAACAACCATTTTATCAACCACTTTGGATATCAACTAAATAATGCTTTGTAACCTAATGGCTCTAGCATCCTCATTTGCTCCGTTCTAATTATTATTTTTGTTCAAGACATTTCTAGTTTGTATTTCTTGCTCTGTAAGTGGCCTAGGAGACTAAACCTTAGTACTTTCTGATTCTTTTCAGGAATATTCATCTATATTGACACAATTTATTATTCAATTGCAATTTATCATAAGATAATTATGCCGTGATTGCATGATGCTTTAAGTCATATACATTTTCCACCCCAAATCCATCAACCTGTAACATTGTATAAATCAGTTCATAGTTGACCTCATTCTTAATTCATTTAAATCCAATATGCTTTCATCATTCTTTTCATCTAATAACCTTGCTCTAATATTATTGCTGTCACACCCCAACTGCCCCTTTTTATAGGGTCAATCACGGTGTGACAGAGGTAGGTGACCCAGTCAAACTAAATTCTTATTAGCACTTGTTCTGACTTGCATAATCAGGAATTAGTGGTGATGAACTAGTCTCATTAACCCCGTATAAATCAGTTCATAATTGATCTCATTCTTAATTCATTTAAATCCAACATGCTTTCATCATTCTTTTCATCTAGTAACCTTGCTCTAATATTATTGCTGTCACACCCCAATTGCCCTTTTTATAGGGTCAATCACGGTGTGACAGAGGTAGGTGACCTAGTCAGACTAAATTCTTATTAGCACTTGTTCTGACTTGCATAATCAGGAATTAGTGGTGATGAACTAGTCTCATTAAACTGCCTCAAACATACATATATTTTATTTCATAATTCATCCATATTTATATATTCAGAAGTGTGAAAATAATATCATCAGAACGTGTATACAAAATTGCTAAACCCAAAATAACAAAAGTATATACCTAAAATTTTGTACAAGCTTTCAAAACTATAATGTAAAAGCTGTACAAGTCACATCAAACTACTCACTCTAGTACTCTTTATCCCTTCCTGAAGTCAACAACGTAAAATGAGCAACAACATGCTCAGATAAATAATCAAAATTAAAATAAGATTTTATAGACGAGAAGGCAATAACATGCATGATCATAAGTAACTCATGTACATGCCCACAACACATATCACAATATGCTGTAATTGTATAAAATATGTAAAAGAAAAGGACATGTAATGAAGGAAATCATGACGGTTATATTCATCCATTTATGTTTAGTCAGATGAATGTTCATAAGAATCATCAATTTAATCATAACAATATCATTTGTAATTATATAAGCCTTAAGTATTTTCATGTCATGCCATGTTGTTGGGTTGTCACCAAGCCTAAAGTCTACATCAACTATTGATAAAGGTTGGACCCCTCCCAGCATAACAGTTATCAATAACTTTCTTAGGACGAACGATTGCCTATATTCTGTCACAATCTGATACCAACGGTTGAATGCCAGAAGTCGATACTCCCCTCCCCTATCATTCATATTTACAAGTACTCTTGTAATTGTCTACGTATAACATTACTTGTTATATTGTGCGGCCAGAAATAAGTTTCTCAAAAGATTTGAAAGCCGGAACACACAACCGCCAATTTGAAAGGCAGCGGAAAATTTCAAGGACTTTGCATTTGGCCTTAACATGAGTGTAGTCTTTGATCGCCCCCAGCCTGAAGGGCAATAGATGCAATATGTCCTGCTGCAACCAGTCACTCATTCGTTGTAACCGCATTGTTAACAAACTGCCACAAAAACAGCTTCTCCGGGATGAAGCTTAAGTTTGTCGAGCCAATTGCTGTTCTCAACTTGCTGGTCAAAGACCTTCTCATGCGCCAATGCAGTGATTGTGCGGCCAGATGATTTGGAAACAGCTCAGCCCTATCAAAAGCACCCATACCGAGTGATTGGACCTCCTGGATGGTATTAATTAGCTCCACACTGAACCACATTTGCATAGTTTCCTTATCCTAGTTGCCGTTCGCAATTAATGAACCCACCAGCATATTCTCGGGCAATGCAGCATTGATAATTGTTGGCCATTTAGATAATTGCTGCTCGAAAACCCAAATATCATTGAGGATATCCACAGTTCTGCCTGATAGCGTTTCTTAACGCCAAAGCTCCACCCTGGAAAATTTTCCAACCAATGGAATCCACCCGAGAACTGGCTCGTTTCCACGGGATAGCATAATACTTATCAACAAAGACTTATATGGGAAGATATTGGGCTTGTTCAGCAGCCCCCATGAAAAACGAGCCCCCCAAGGGCCTTTCCAGGTTGCAGACGCATGAAATCCCAGACCTCCAAACTTTTTCGACCAGCACAATTTTCTCCAGGTAATATAATGGAGTCCTCGTTGGTTGGGCCCTTTTCCCAGAGGAAAATATCTACAAGCCTTTTCAATATGAAGGAAAACCAAATTTGGCGGACCAGAGTGGGTGAGCAAAATGGATGCCATAGGAAGGAGAGCAAACTTGATAAAAGTAGTTCTGCTTGCCAACGAATGGTCGATTGCCCCATGCAAGCAGCTAATCATCTGCTTTGGGGGCTGTATCCGAGATTCGAGTGGTGTTCCGTTTGTATCTTCTTCACGAGGTGGTGATTGTCTTCCTTATTGTCTTCCACATCCTCCCCACACCACTTTCGGCTGCTCCGTCTCTGATGCAGCAGCCCAGGACAGCAGCTATTGCTGTTTTTTACTGCAGTTTTCTCAATTGCCAGCCGCCTCCCTCCCTTCCTGGCCTTGCTGCCATCTCGCACAGCTGCCTCCACCCTTCCCCAACCTTCCTGCATCACTCCTAGTTGCCACTGCTTGCTGTTGCCATCCGGAAAACAGTGAATCTTTTGTTTTCCTGCTGCCAGCTCCATTCCGACTTGCTCCCACCTGGACTGCAGCCTGTCCTGCTGTCCTTGCAGTTGCCGCTTGCTGCAATACCCTTTACCACCCTGCCTCCACCCGTCAATTTCCTACTCCCTGCCACCCGTCTTCCCTCCCAACGCTCCGCCTCACGCCCCCCGCAGCCACCCCCCACCCCCCCCTCGACAATTTCCCACTCTCTGCCGCCCCAGACCGTTACCTTGGTGCTGCCATGACTGCCTTGCTGCAGCCACCTTACCGCCACCCTCCAGCCATCCTACCACTGTGTCCCTCAAACTGCAGCAACACCACCTTCGCCCTAGGCCTAATGTGGTCTATGTGTTATGTCCTTTGCTATTATTTTTATTGCCGTACGTCTTTGTCCCCATTTGTTTTCAGTAATAAAATTTACATTTCTGTTAGTTTATGAGTAAACTCCGGCATCATGTTGCTGAGTGCTCTTATGTTTTTCATTTCTTCTGAAATCAGAGATATACAATTAATTAGTAGTCTTGAATTTGTTAGGCTTATTTTTTATCTTGTTTACTCTTTGCATCACTTAGGGCTTGTTTGGAATCAATTTTGCTTTTTGTTTTTGTTCTTATATACTTTTTTACTTATAAAAGTATTTTTTTTGTGTTTTTACATTTTTTTTATTTTTTATTTTTTTAAACAAATTAACTTGTGCTTGAAAGCTCACAAAATAAACTTGAGGTGTTTTTAAAAACAATCATACATTCATACTTTAATCAAAATGTCAAATATGTTTTGTTTTAAAATAAAAACATAAATAATACAAAAGAAAACCAAAAAATAGAAAATAAAATATATAATTGGCCCCTTAGAAACTCAATAAAAGTTTCATTTTTCTTTCCGTTCTCAACTGCCAATTTTTTGACGTTGATCCTTAATCTTGTGATATAGACACATGCATTTTATTGGTATTTTACTTCGGCCCTTCCTCGCTCTCTTTTAGTAGCATATCCTCTAAGCTTGGTAAGTTTACAAATAACAAAATTTGATGGTTTCCTGCTCTTTTTACCGCTGTAGTCTTAGCTTAATTTCTTTAAACTTGCGAAAGGCAGTGGAATTTGGAATGTGAATAATAGGTGTTATGTTTCTCCAAAGAAAGTAGATTGCTTCATTAATTTTTTTTTGTTTAAAAATTGATTGACAAATAAGAAAGGTGTTTGCCTTTCGAGCCAAGAAAATGGCTAGCACATGATGTATTATTTCATATGCCATGAAGTTTTAATTTATTATATCATGGGCTTGTGGTAATTTTAATGCATGAACACTTGAAATCATCTGCTCGAGTTTAGCTCACTTGTACTTGATTCTAGTCAAGTTGAATCTGATACAAAGTCATTTGATTAGGAGCAAGGTAGAATTATGTTCCAAGGTAACTCAAAATTGATTTCTTGTTCACAAAATTATATATTTTCAATTTAATTTTATAAATATATATGTATTCTATTTTATATTCCAAGTTAACTCAAAATTGATTTCTTGTTAGAATAGAATCGGGTTGCTTCTCATTGATACAAAGAGGGGTATATCAAGTCATTACAAAATTTACTAATAAGGAAAGAAATAAAAATAGGATATAGTAGAAAAAGGAAATGAATAATAAAGAGTCAAAGATAATAACACAGAATAAACAAGAATTAATAACTGCTATTACTATACACTAATAAATATTTTCATATTCGTCAAGTTGAAGCATAAATGTCAGTCATGTTCAACTTAGATTTGAAGTCATCGAACAGTGGTCGAGGAAGGTTCTTGGTGAGAATATCCATCAACTGGCCACTGGATGACATGAACGGGACACAAATTTCTCCGGATTCGAGCTTTTCCTTAATGAAGTGTCGGTCAAACTCAACATGCTTGTTGTGATCATGCTAAACAATGTTGTGAGCACTGCCAATGACTGCTTATTATCACAAAACAACTGTGGAGGGACGGAGACTATCATACGTTGTTCGCGGAGCATGATTTGTAACCAGAGAGATTCATAAGTTCCTAGGGACATGGATTGAAGTTATGCTTCAACTTTGCTCTGGGCAGCTGCTGACTATTTTTTGTTTTTCCACGTGATAATGTCTCCCTACACAAATGAGCAGTAACCCGAGATAGATCGCCGATCATTGACGGGCCCGACTTAATTAGCGTCTGTGTAAACTGTAATCGAATGAGAGGTGTGGCGAGAAAAACACAAACCCGAGTCCGGTGTGACTTTTAAATAGTGAAAAATTCGGTGGACAGTTGAAGATGATGCTCATTGAGATCATGCATGAATCAACTTACTATCCCAAGGATGTGGCGTACATTGGGTGTGTATGAGCAAGTTATGAGTTTCCCCACAAGGTGCTGATAGTGAGTCTTGTTTACAGGATCCACATTGGGAACATCAATAAGTTTTTCATTAGGATCCATCGGGCCAGCCACTAGTTTGCACAGGAGAATCTTGTTCTTTGTCAAAAGGTCGATCACATATTTCCACTGAGACATGCGAATGTCCCGAGATGAACGAGCAATTTCCATGCCTAAGAAATACCAAAGAGATCTTTAATCCTTCATTTTAAAGGAAACAATAAGAATGCCTTTTAGAGACTTCAATGCTGGTAGATCATTACCCGTGAGTAAAATATCGTCGACATAAACAATAATGATGGCTACCTGGTTGGTGGAGGAATGCCGAAAGAAGAACGTGTGCTCCGATTGAGTCTGAGTGAACCTATGACCTACCACTACCTTTGTAAACTTGTCGAACCATGCCCGTCATGATTGCTTCAATTCATAGAGGGACTTTCACAACGTACATACTTGACTCTGAGAGGCAGTGGAACCAAAGCCTGGAGGAAGGGCCATTTATACCTCCTGCAAGATTGTCGTTCAGGAACGCATTATTGACATCAAGGTGGAATAAGGGCCAATCTAGATTCACTGTAAGGCATAATAGGATTCGAATGGTAGTTAATTTAGGAGCTGGAGCAAATATCTCCTCATAGTCAACTTTATAGGTTTGTGGGTACCCTTTGGCAACCAATCGTGTCTTGTTGCATTTAAAGGATCTATCAGAGTCCAACTTGATACTAAAAATCCATCGGCATCCCGTTGCTTTCTTCCCTCGAGGAAAATCAACTATGTCCCATTATGGTTTCGCTGAAGGGCGTTCATCTCCTCTATGACGACAACTTTCTAGGTTGGGTCTTCTAGGGCAGCCTCAATTGTAGATGATAGCCGATGATTGGTCAGGGCAGTAGCAAATACTATGTAAGTCGGGGTTAAACTACAGAAGGAAACATAGTTTGTCATGGGATAGAGAGAACATGTTTGATTGCGTACTTATTAGAGGATCTGACTTCCTCATTTGGAGGTGGAGCAGTGCTGGGGATGCCGCTCGAAGGGGATTCAAGGTACGACAAGGTGTTAGCGGGCTTCAGAGTAGGTGCATCAGATTGAATGCGCCGACTGTAGACACGGAGAGTAGGGATGATGAGATGGTGGAACCAAAGTGACAGAGGGCTTCGTGGTGGTAGGACAATGGGTGGAACTAAAGGAATAGATTGCTCCTCGGTGGTAGGCGACATGGGGGTAATATCCAGAGGAGTAGGGTAAGAAATAATGTACAAGAACTCTAGCTCTCCCCCTCACTGGAGCCGATTTAGAAAAGAAGGGAACACTTTCAAAAAAAGGAGGCCTCAACACTCACATAAACCTTATTTGTGACAGGTTCAAGACATCACTAGCTTTTTTGGAGTGGTAGAGTATCCGAAGAAAACACATTTTATGAACCTATGATCAAGTTTACTTCGAGTTGTAGTTGTTTCAAACAAAGACTGTGCACACAAAAATTTTTGATCCAAAGTGGAGAAAGCCCGATTGTTAGGAAAACATTATCTCAAAACAGCTAATTGGGTTCAAAAGTTATGAATTTTTGAGGGCACTATATTGAGATAGGTGGCAGTAAGTATTACATCATTTTAGAAATATTTTGGGACATTAGATTGAAATATAATGTAGCGAGCAATGTCGAGGAGATGTCGATTTTCCTCTCAACTTCCCCATTTTGTTGAGTGTTCGTACCCGAGCTATAATGGAGGATGCCCTTATCAGGAATTCTCGTTACACAGATTTAAAAAAAATTATAATCATTGTTGGTTCGAAGGGCTTGAATAAGAGTTTTGAATTGGGTCAAAATGAAGGTGTGGAAGTTTTTTGAGGTAACGACAACTTCAGATTTGTCTTTTAAAATATAGACCCACATCATCCGGGTGTGGTCATCAATCAAAGTAAGGAACCACCGTTTATTGATGTAACTGGAAGTGCGAGAGGGTCCCCATAAGTCATTGTGAATAAGAGAGAAAGGAGCGTAATATGTGTAAGTATGAGGTAGATAAGGAATACGATGACGTTTAGCCAACATACAAATTTCACATTTGAAATTAGAAGGATTTTTATTAATAAACGCCAACGAATACAATTTTTTAAGATACTGGAAACTAGGATGACCCAAACGACAGTGTAACAACATAATATGACATTCAATGGACTGAGATAAATTGCAACTACTTAGTGGACTGCCCTCATTCTCCGTGCTATTCTCTTGTAAGAAGTAGAGCCCGCCTAACCATTTAGCAGTTCCGACTATCTTTCTTGAACGACGATGCTGAAAGACAAACATCAGGGGAAAAATGGTCAACATAATCAGTCATATGTCAACTTATTGACAGATAAATTGCTACACTTCAGCAGAAGCACATGTAACACAAATTCTAGAGTTAGACCTATTGTTAAAATAACTGTTTCTTTACCAGCATTGGAACTCTGAGAATCGCCGACAATTTTAATAGTATCTTTTCCTGAGCATGGATAGTATGTCGGGAAGGCTTGAAAGCTCCCAGTTATTTGGTCCATGATACCTGGATCAATGTCCCACAAACTAGAAGGGACAAAAGAAATGAGTGTCATAGGTTTGGTACCGTAATGAATGTAGGAGGTCGACGTGCGACAAGAGAGAAGACTAGATCCAAGCAACTTGATTAAGTAGTCAATTTGAATTCTCAGAGAACCGGAGGATTCTAGGTTGTTCTGGGTAGGAGCTAACTGCATCGTGTTGGATTTAGATGTTGTAGCAAGACCCTTGGCAGGGGAGGATTTGGCCGAAGGTTTGGATGCAAATTTTCTGTGGAGATTCCAACACTTATCATGAGTATGGTTGGGTTTGTGCAGTAATCACAACTGAGGTGACCAATTCGGGATTGACCACTGTTAGAGACCAAGGCGAACGCTTTGACAGATGGAGTGGAAGCAACAAACATGACATGTCTTTGACATTCTTCGCGACGAATCTTAGTGAAAGCAGCACGAGTAGAACGAAGAAGATCCCGACCAAGGACACGGCCCTAGAACTTATCAAGATCTTTGTTGAGGCATGCCAGAAATTGAAACATGCAGTTCTTCACTATAATTTTGTGGAAGAGAGGTAGGTAAGCTAGAGATTCCCATGTGTAGTTATAGTATAAGTCGCATTTCATTCTTAATGCAACTAGGTCATTGTAATACTGGGTCACGGTCCTTGATCCTTATTTTGTTTCACGAATTTTCTTAGAGACCTCATAGAGTTGGCTGGAATTCCCCACATCCTAGTAGATATCACAGACTGCCGTTCAGAGGGCACTTGAGGATGTAAGGAACATATATGATCGGCTAATCAAATTCTCCATGGAGCTGATCAACCATGATGTGACCCTAAAATTCTTTACTTCCCAAGCTCCATGCATCAGGTCAATCTTTGAAGTTTCATGAATTATACCAAGGAGAGGACCAAATTTTCCACACCCTTTGATAAACAAAGAAAGATTGAGATCATTGGAGAAAGTTACTGCCGTTTAGCTTATGAGTTATGATCAAGAAGTTCATGTTGTTTTATTGTTCTCCGACTGCAGGGAAACATATGTTAGAATTGATCTTTCGGTAGAATCAAGAACACCTGATGATGGATCAGTGCTGGAGGAGTCTGTTATGATTCCGACTGAGCCAAATGAGATGTTGAACATCGAAAGGTTCCAACTACTGCACAGGGACGATGAGGACCGATGGCATATAACAAGGGAAAATTGGAAACCGAAAACAACAACAACAACAACAACAAAACCTTAATCCCACCACGTGGGGTTGGCTACATGAATCCTTTTTCTCCATTGTGTCTTATTCAGTGTCATATTTTCATTCAGTTCTAGTAAATTAAGATCATTTTTTATACAATAAACCCATGTCTTTCTCTCCCTTTCTCAACACAAGTTGAATCTAAAACATCTACTCTCCTATTCGGATCATCAGATGGTCGACGTTTAATGTGACCAAACAATGTAAGAGGACTTTCTCTAATTTTATCCTTCACAGGAGCTACACCAACCCTATCACGGAATTCATGTCATGATTTTTTCGAGAAGCATTATGCTGGTTGTCGACTACCTAACGCAACCCTCCACTTTTCACATCCGGGCTTGGAAACCTAAAACACATGAAATAAATACATAAGCCCTAAGTAATTATGATTGGGTCCACTATTGAAGCAGGCGCCAATCCCATATGAGGGAGTTGGTCGGCTCTTCCTTTGCCTTGACTGGTTGATCCAAATGCTAGAACGCGGAAGGGGAATCCCCCCTCATGCCGCGTCAGTTGGTGCGTGCATCTCATCCTAAATCTACATAAAAAAGCACTAGTCTATTATAAGTTCTTCTGAATCACCAAGTTAGTTCCAAACAATATAATTTGATAATAAACAAATCTAGAACTTGAATGGGTAGGGTGAACCCTAGTGGGTCTTAAAAATACAAGTGAACCTAGTTGGCCCTAACTAGTAATGCTAGGTCATACATCAATTCAAATTTATTAAAACCATAAATTACTTTGTTATTAAGCCTATTTTAAAGTTTGTGCATCTATTAAAATCCCTCTATTGGGCTAAATTCAAATTAAGCATCAATATGCAGAAGCTTTCTTTTTATAAAACTTCAAATCAAATTTATAGGCAACCTACCTGAATGGTTAATCATTGGAATGCTTCTTGGACGATGGGGACCGATGATTTATAACGAGGTAAAATTTCATGTCTCTGTCAAAACACCTTAACAATTGCAAACTAAAAATAACCTAATTAGCCCTTACAATGAATCAATGGGATTTTGATAGGTTCACTTAAATTTTCATTATTCATTTTTTTATTGGGAGCGAGATGAAATGTTAAAAACTATTTTGTCCATTTCAACAAAATGTAGTGTTCTGTTAGATTGAAATATCTCCAGATATTCTTAATACACTCTACATGGTATTGCTACAAGGAATTTTGTCTTCCATGCAGCTATACAAAAATTTGCTTTCACTTTATTATTTCTATTAGAAGTTATTAGGAATTGATTTATATCCGTTCCCTTTATTTTCTATCTAATGTCTTTTCTATTTTATGAATTTTCTTTGTATCTCCAGATAGTTATTAGGAATTGATTAACTAGAATTTTGGAGATTTAAATGTTATGTATTTTCTATTTTAGGATTCATTTAAGTTGTATTTGTGCCTCCCTTTCGTTTCAATAAAGTATTCCGATAAATTCTCAAAACCTCTGACTACATGATATCAGAGCCTTCAAACGAATCCAAGAGTCTCCGCCGGAGGAGATCTTCTACCAACAAAAACTTCCTATTCCCTACAGGCTGGAACTCCTCTCCCTGCAGGATTTAGCCGCCGAAACTTCTTCCTGCAGGAACTAGTCGCCGGAATTCTCTCGCCGCTTGTACCTAGCTGCTAGAACTCCTCCTCTAGTCGTCGGTGTTTTTACTACAGTCTTTGACAGTAGTTTCTCTGCAGCCAACTGCCTACAGATTTTCTTCCTTTTGCAAGAGATCTCCTTCATGCAGGAATTCTACGACAGTCCAGAGTTCTTCCCTGTGTGCAGCTAAAAGTTTTCCTAAAGGCCATTCCTTGGCTCTTTCTTGCAGCAGATAGTTTTTTTGTTGATTTCTTCTCCTTGCCTCAACAACACCCAACGACCTTCGATCAAGCCTTCTTCTTTTGCTCGACAACCCTTCTCTTTGACCTCTGAAACAGTTAAATATTCTACTGCAGGCAGTCTGAGCTTATTTTCAATTTCCCTATAGGCCCTCCTGTCATGTTTCCGTGAAGGACCATAACATCCTTACCCCCGTTTTCTTGCAGAGAACAAAAATAAGCCCAAACCACCTTGATGGTGCAAACCACTTGGAAGTCCATCAACGACAATGCTCCAATGAAGCAATCGACAACCAAGACAGCCAGGCAGCCAGGCAGCTCGGCAGCCAGGCAGTTGACTCTTGCGATCGTTGTTTTAAAGTAACCCATCATTTATGTCCCATAATAGTTTCGCTGATGGAGATCAGGATGTCCCAGAAGAGCACTGAGCTTCTCATCTGTAAGCTTCCCTTCCAGCATCTCGTTGTTGAAATTGTGCAGAATTTCAAGACCGATCCCCAATTTTAGAGTTCTGCCGTTGATTTGCTTCAGGAGGCTGCAGAGACTTACCTTTTTAGTATCTTTGAAGACATGGATCTTTGTGCCATCCATGTGATCAGTGCTATTATTATGCTGAAGGATATTCAACTTGCTTTACTGATCCATGTCTTTCCTGTCTAGATGCAGGGATCGACTCCTTCCATGCCTCGGCATTTGATTCTCTCCTTTTGCTCCGTTGGAGCCATGACTGATTCCTCCACCTTTGAGCTTCTGTCCAAAACTATTTTTGATGCCACTGGAGGTTCGACATCTATCTCAATCCTTCCACAGACCAGAGGATCTGAACACCACAAACTCCATGGGAAACCAACAAATAAGGTTTTGACCAAATCAACCATTGCTAAAGGTCTCACAACGGTCTCAAAATCCACAACTATTTTGGTGGCTCCTACTTGGACCGTTCTTGATCGTCAGACTCTATTGAGGATTAGGTGGAATAAGTTGTTTGGTTCTGGTCAATTCTCCTTTGGACCGTTGACCTCTCAAGTCCATAAAGGATCTTCATTTGGGGAGGATTATTTATTTATTTTTTCTCTCTTTCTTTTCAAGAAAATGGCGCCTTCCTCTAAATGATGCCTTCCTCTTTTCTCCTTTGTCGTCGTAATTTTTTTCTCCTACAAAAGACCCTCCTTCGGGTTTTCTGCAGCAGGCCATCCTCTGGAGCTTTTCTCTGTAGTAGGCTCTCCTCCAAAACTTTTCCTGCAATAGACCCTCGTCCAAAGCTTTTCATGCGACAACTCCTCTTCCAGAGCTTTTCCCTGCAGCTGGCCCTTCAGAGCTTTTTTCTGCAGCTGGCCTTCCGAAGCTTTTATGCGGCTTGTCCTATTCCAAAGCTTTTCCTTGTAGCAGACCTTTCTTCGGAGCCTTTTCCCGTAGCAGACCCTCTGGAACTTTTTCTTGCAGCAGAACCTCCTCCTGAGCTTTTTCTTGCAGGAAGAGCTCCTTGGGAGCCTTTTCCTGCTCGGGCCCTCCTCCATAACCTTATTCTGCAGCAGACCCTCCTCTAGGGCTTTTTCCTTATAGGCCATATCCTGCAGATTTCTCTCTAGATTGTCTACTTCCTTGCAACATTATTTGTAGCAGCCTTCCACCTACCTACAAAAATTATAAAAATTGCAGCCAAAGACAACCACAGTCAACTAGATGTATCCCTAAATGCTCTTGGGGATGAAGCCTTCAGGTTTTACCTCACAAAAGTATCTTCCTCGCCCATTGTTTGATGATTTGAAATCCAAGTTGAACATGATTGACATCTATGCTTCAATTTGAGAGAGAGTTTTAGAAATTATTAGGAATTATTTCATTTCCTTTTCTGTTATTTCCTATTTTATGTAATTCCTTTTTATTTTGGAGTAGTTATTAGGAATTGATTAATTGTAATCTTGGAGACATAGGTGTTTTGTTCTTCCTTTTTTTTGTCTTTCATTTTATCTTCGAGTAGTTATTAGGAATGTATTAACTGTAATATTGGAAATATAGGTATTATGTTTTTCTATTTTGTCTTTCTTTTTATCTCTGGGTAGTTATTAGGAATTGATTAATTGTAATCTTGGACATATATGTATCATGTCTTTCCTATTTAGGATTCATGTAAGCTATTTTAAACCCCGCTTTCATATCACTAAAGTATTCCACTAATTCTCAAAACCTACAATATCTACCATCACTAGTGAAGTTTGATTATGGCTTTCATGAAATGCATTTTTTAGATCAACTTTATAGTGCTTCATTTATGATATTTAAATTGCAGTACTCGAGTTTAGTTCTTGACCAACTTCTTTTTGGAATTGGCAATATGAGCAAGCGTTAACTACTTTTGAGATGCCCTGAAAAATAATAAAATTCTCTAAAGATTCCTGTTATCCTTGAAATTCTCCAACTTTTTAGCACTGCGCAGATGTAATAAGTTGCATATTTTCTTTAATTGTTTTTATGATGGACACTTTCTGGCACTAAGAATGTAATCTTTTATTTTATTTTCACTTTTCAGCTAGGTGTGTTACTTGATAGGAGAATGGTCAGATACTTTGCTCCTGTTTTCTCTTTTGTTTTACTTTATTCGAAACTCCCGCACAAGGTTATTCATATGGCTAATATTTTGATGGTCTATTATTATCTCATTCTTTTTATTTAAGACCTTTTTTAGTTAATTTTGCATTCTGCAGGAACTTCGTTTCATCATTTGCTCTGTTCCAATTTTCAATGTATCGGCAGCAGTTGCTTCAAATAGAGTGTATGCACCTTTAAATACTGTCTATTATTTTATTGAACTATGTGAAAATTTTGGAAACTTAAAGGCTATGATCGCATAATGATTATTCATCTTAGTTTATGCATGCATGTATGCACAACTTCAATTGAGGTATTGTGAATTTTATTATTCCAATGTTTATTTCTATGCTTCTGGCTTTCAAATGTCAGGTTAAATTTTCCATTCATAAAAGCTAGTGTAGAGCCTGAGTTTATGTTGTTCACGATGATTTGATCGTGCCTTAGGTGTATGAAAAGTTTGAGGCGGGTAATTATATATGAGGTGATTGTGATGTTTTGTTATGATGATTTGAATTTGGTAAAAAATATGTATAAAATTAAGTTTTTGGTGTTACATTTTAGGAATATGTACATGCACTCAATTCTCATGTATTTACATATCTAACACAAAAACTTCAATTTGTACGGATATTCCACCTTCCTTTGCATGCAAAGGTGTATTTTACATTTTTATTTTAAAAGTTAAAATAATGTTATTTTTTATGTGATATGAAAATTTTGGGTGGTCTAAATGTAAAAATCAAAGTTTAGTTGTTAGATATGAAAATACATAAGATTTGGGTGGTATGTATGTACATACCCCTACTTTTTATTGGTGATTGAGATTGATAATGCATACCCTCATCATTTGATATTTGTTATCTATTATCATTTGATATATGCTGTTATTGTGATTTAGCATATTAATTCTTTCGACTCTATTTTATATCTTATAAGCATTAAACTCTAGTTTAAGCAGGCCCTTTTTCTTGTAGCCAGGTTATTTTTTGTTTCACTATATTTTACATTGACTTTATTTTCTATTCTGATCATGCTTTCTTGTCTCTTAATAACCAAAAACACCAACTTTATTCTCTACAAGCATACTACATAGAAGAATTTTATCCGGGTGACCTTGACTTCCCTTTCAATGGCCATACTGACATGAACTTTTGGTAAATTTGGTATGGCACTACTACAGCTATGTTTTGTTTTCGCTGTTTGAAATAAAATCACTCTACTTTTATTTTACAACCTACCTAATCATTTATTCCATATGTTCATGAAGTCATAAGTAGAACACATGCAAAATGGAGATTTTGAAACTACATTTTCCATGTAATCAATATTATTTTTGAATAGGCAAACAAAAAAAATAAATTTTAGCAAATTACGCCTATGTTTAGCATATTTGAATGTATGGGCGGAGACGAACCATTTAATGACTACTCTATTACTTTCAGTAGATACTACTTTTAATGACTAAAAAATTATTTATTATTTTGTTTATTTTTTATTTTACAATGCATACATCTTAGCATTTTCATTTGTATACTTATTAAGGGTGCGTTTGGGGCAGCTTATATCTGCGTTCAGCGTTTTGAAAACGTCGTGCAAAAGTTTGTTTCGCGCGTTACTGCTGCGGGGTAGAGAACGTCGTTCACAATTTATACTATACGCGGGCCGCAGGATCGACCCCGCGGCCCGCGTTTTCCATCAACGTTTTGGAAAAAATTCTTTCGGTGCCCTTCGCAGCTGAGAAGAAAGAAAGGAACTCCGAGAGCAAATACGATCGTCGCCTTGGCCCCTCAGCAACACCCGGACCCGCTCCTCTACTTTGATCTCCTCACCGCGCTAGTAGCCGCCTTTGAAGAAGGGTCCCAGATCCTGTATTCGACTCTGCCTTAAAGATTGATTCCTCTCATTCCCATCTTTTATTATTTCGAGAGTTTTTCAGATTGTCTTGCTTCCACATCCGATTGTCCAGCTTTGTCGTTTCCATTTTAGCTATAAATATCACTACCTTTAGGAATCATTATCAGCGGTATTTTCAGGTGGTTGAACTTTGTAGGTCTTGCTGCTTAAAGTGATTAGTGAGGCTATTCATTCCTTCATGTGGGAATAATTTTTTGTTTGGTTCTGTTTTTTATTACTGGACCATGAAGTGGATTGAACTACAGCATTGTGGCCCCGTGAACTTACATATGATAGTTGGAATTGTTAAAGCCATGAAGGGTTTAATACTTTACGGGATCTATTGCTTTGTTTTTTTTAATTTTTTTTACGTAATTTTATCTAATTCATTATTTGTCTTGCTTTGATTAAAAAGGCTAAGAAAGGGTCAGTTAATGCATTATGTTGTTGATGTATGGTCATTCCTTTATTGCAGGAGATAATAGTGCGGTTGCAACGAAAGTGCGAAGGTGCCTTGTTTTCTTTGCTTGTTTTGGGAGCCAGGCGTCCCATAAGATGTCTTGCTTCCTTAGCAATGGCGAGGGTAATCGAAAAAGGTGATGGAATTTTGAAATATTCAAGAGCAAGCAGTCTCCAAGGATGGTTTGGTGATTGCAAACGGAGCAAACCCCTTTCCTCTGCTGGTTTGCAATCAGTTTCGAGATATTTGAGTTTGATGAATATATTCATTTTATCTCTTTTGAACTTGCAGAGAGTTGTTATTTTGTGTTGCAATTAGGGCTGTAAACGAGCCGAGCGTGAGCGAGCTCAGGCTTGGCTCGTGTTCGACTCGTTCGAAATAGCTCGTGTTCGAAATCGGCTCGTGAACAGTGTGTTCGTGTTCGACTCGAAATTGGCTCGTTAAACTTAAATTGAGAAAAATAGATGTAAAGTATGAGATTCGAAATTGGATCAAATATATACAAAAGAATGCACTAACCATATTGCCACATGAAATGTTATGATTTAAACTTAGGCATAAATATATATAATATATTATTTAAATATATATAATATATTATTATATAAATAATATATGTAATATATTGTTATATAAATAGTTATATAATTTTTTTTTATTTAACGAGTGAACAAGGAGTTGTTCGTGTTCGGCTCGTTTATAATTCGAGCTTTAAAAATTTGTTTATTTAACTAAAAAAGTCTGTAAATAAGTTGTTTACAAAACGCACAAATCAAACAGCTAAATAACTTATCAACAAGGGCAGAATAATCATTTATCCAGAATCAGCCGTTTTCTAAACACGCAAACCAAACAGGCAGCCTGCTTATCTGGATCAGCTGCTCATCAGCAGATTATCAGGATAAGCTGTTTATCAGCAGAAGCTGGATAAGCTGGAGCTGCCCCAAACAGACCCTAAATTTAAAAGTGACCCTGACCTTGATATAGAGGCTATTAAAAAGATTAGCTCAAATATACAAAATTGCGAAAAACTAATATTGTTTTTGTACCACATGTATAAAAGTGGGCTAGCACACATTAGACTAAATTGATAAGGAAATGATCAAGCATACAACAACAACAACACCTTTATCCCACTAATTCGGGTCGGCTACATGAGCCCTTTTTCTCCATTGCGTCCTATTGAGTGTCATATTTCATGTACTTCTAATAAATAAGATTATTTTTTATATAACATGCCCAAGTCTTTCTAGGTTTATCTCTGCTTTTCTTAACATAATCCGAATCTAAAACATTTACTCTCGTAATCGGATCATAAGATGGTCGACGTTTAATGTGACTAAACCATCTAAGACGTCTCTTTCTAATTTTGTCCGCCATTAGAGCTACACTAACCCTATCATGGCTATATTCATTTCGCATTTTGTCTCTAAGTGTAAAACCAATCACCCACCATCATCCACCTAAGCATTCTCAGCTCGGCAACACTTAATTTTATCCTTCTCTTTGAATGGCCATCATTCAGGGCCATAGAGCATTGCAGGTCTCACCACCATCATATTAAATTTTCCTTTCAGTTTAACCGGTACTTTTCTATCACACAATATGCATGAAGAATTCATTCATTTCAACCAACCAACTTGAATTCTACTAATAACATCCATAGACCTGAGATATCTAAAACGTTCACACCTTTTAATAATTTGATCACCCATAGTTACAACTTTGTCACTAGAGCTACTGCTACTAAAATTACATTCAATGATCGAGTATAGGATAAATTGAAAAAGAAATATCGAGAAGAGATGAAGGAACAATCAAAGGGGCATCTTTCTCCAAAACTGTGATTGAGATCAGAAAGAATGAAAGAGTGAGAACGGACGTGAGAAGTAAATCAAAAGGGGAATTGGGATCGATCTTGAGTGAAGAGCTTGAGTTGATTGATCACAAGTGATGTGTGGGTGGAGCACAAGTGGCGACGGAAACAAAGGTCAAATAGATGCCCATGCAAAGAAGCTAAGCATGCCGATCACAAACTAAAACCAATTTGCGGTAATGGAAGTGCGAGCTAGAGAGATAGTTTTGTGCATGGTAGGGCGAGCAAGCACTATCAACAATAAGCATATGAACTCGAACTTAGAATGTGAGCGAACATTGCTTGTGAGATATTGGGCATCTTGCCTCCTCAAACTGTCATTTTTTGAGTCAGGATTGTTAAGAGTAGATGTGCAATGGTGGATAAGGCTTGAGTTCAAGCTATTGGCGAGGTCGATTGCTTCAACTGAGTTATTTAGCTTTGAATTTTAGAAAAAAAAATAATATAGAAAAGTAAGGGTTTGATTTTTACTATTGATTATGTATAAATTATTTTGTTGGGATCGAGTGATATACTAGGAGAAAAAAAAAAACGTTTGCAAATCATTCAAGTATTAAACAATGAAGTAAAGTGCCAAAATAGTCCTCGACTATTTACATTGAGCTGTTTTAATTCTAGAGTTTATAGAAGTGTCAAAGTAGTCCTCGACTATTTTAAAATTGACCTCTAGTCCTCCATAGGGACTATTTCAATCTCAAATTAAAGTGTCTGAGACTATTTTGGCCTTTTTATGAACTTTGGGACTAAAACAGACTCATGTAAATAGTCCAGGTCTTTTACTCTAAAATAAAATTAAGATGTGGGTTTTAAGTAGTGTTTTGACTTAGTTATTTAGAAAGGTTTTTAATCTTATAAATAAAGTTAAACCTAAAGCCTTATTCAAATATGTTGGATTATGTTAAAAAAAACTATAGTTTAATTAATATATTCCTATGTTTTTTTCATATTAGTT